TTAAGACGGTGCTTAAAAATGCCTAAAACATGCAGAGTTTGAGCAAGGCAGTGTGAAATAAAACAATTTCATGCTTCATTGATTTCTATCTTATTTTTCTCACCAATCTTGCTTTGCTCCATGAGATTTACTGGAGGAAAGTCTAATTTACTGCAGCAGGTCCCAACATCAGAAATAACCACAGTGTGCAAACCAAGAGGGGAGGCAGAGAAGTTTTTGCTGTTGATGTCTCACCCAACTCTCACATTCCCACATCAAGGAATTGCCAGAGATCCCATCAGAGTTGGGTCAAACTCAGACCCAGAGATGCAGAGCAAGGCAATGGGTGCATGTTTACATCCCTGCTGGATCAGAAAAGGACTCTGCATTATAACTTCACCCTTTCCCCCACACACAGACACCCCCAGATGACCTGCACGTCCAGAAGCAAATCAAATTCTCATGGTTTTGCCTTTAAAACAAACCATTATTTCCTGAAGGTGGGCACAGAGCTCTTTAAGGAGGCAGAACATCACGTGCCAGAATCCAGCAGCACTGCCATCCTGCAGGCTGGAACTCACCCCATCTGCCAGGGGGGCTGAAATTCCAATACATAAAGGGCCTCTGAGTAGGTGAATGGGGGATGAGCTCTCTAACAAAAATATATATTTCAAGAAATAGTGCAATACTTCATTTCTGAAAGTGCCTTTTGATCATTGTAACCTTTGGTTTTAACCACTCTGGTGTCCCCTGCCAAATGTGGTTTACTGATGACACATCATCATGGCACCAGGAATGGACTTGTTGATATGTTAAGTAATGGGACTTCTTTCAGACCATTTTTATAGCTAAAAATTCTCATGGCATAAAAGAGTCATCATACAGTTATTTCACTGTGGAAAACTGCTATTTTTCTTAGAATAACTTTGAACTCTAACTTTTTTTGAAGGGGTTTGTTTTTCAAATAAAACCCTGCTTCTTTTCTTCCCCAAAAAACTCCGCTTGTATTAGCTGGAACGACACCAAATCCGCAAAGATATGTATTCAGACAGATTGTAAATTTAGCTAGAGAATTTATGTTACCAAATCCAAACAAAGATCTAAAGCAAGATGCAAAATATCACACACACACACCAAAAAAGTTCCAAAATATATGGAATGGGATTTTTAAAGCTGAGCAAGGGACTCAGCCGTACAAGTTCGAAAGAAATTGATTAATTATGTGGTTGATAATCTTGGTTTATATGCCATGTTAAATCCTGGTATAACTTCATTGTCTGCAGTGGAGTTGCACTGCAAATGTATTTGACAGATAGTCATGATTCTTCTCCAAGAAAAACTTCTAAGGCAGACGTTTTAAACATGAGTGAATGAAAGTCCTGTGCCAAGCTCGACCCTAATTTATACCCTGTACAAAACAGCTGACTTGGAAGCGAGGGTGTCAGGAAAGGCAAAAAAGAGACATGAGTCTGTTCTTCCTTTGCTGGGACGTTGCATCAATTCCCTTTGGTGATGGTCGTGTCTCCGAGAGGCGCAGCGGGAATCCACAGCACAGCCTGTGGGAGATTCTTTCCTTCCAAGTCTGCAAGTTCTTGTATTTCACAAGCTGGAAGTGTTCAGGGAAGAGCCTGGACTAGTCTCAGTGGAGAGCCATGAAATTCACTCCTATTAACTACTGCATCAATCTGAACCTTGGCTGCTTCAAAATGAATTTGAGGATGAGCACTGCAAATGGCCATTTTAATATGAATATTGGAATTAGTTGCTTAATTTAATCAGAAAATAATGTGTTTCAGACCGAGAGGTCTCAGTGTTATTTTGAATCAAAACCCAGCATTTGAGTGGGTTTTCTTTAGTCTGTTAGGTTATTTTTGGCTCATTATTAACATTAGAGTTAAACGTGTCTAAGTAAAACTGACACACCTTTGCTCAGGTGAGAGGGAAATAATGCCCATCTCAACTTATCTTTTATGCAACATTACTAAGGACATGGGGGGATTTTATTATTTCACCCAAAGCATCATTTAAGCCACCAGCAGCAATCTGACTGCTCCAGCTCTAAGTCTAGCAAATTGCTAAAGTCCTCACTCCTGATTCTTCTGCTGGCAGAGTTATTTTACAGCAAAGTGATGTAATCTGGCAGTGAGCGAGCTCAACATAAACAGCGTGGCTCCACAGCAATACCCCTGCTCCAGGGGATCATTGCTGGGACAGGAGGCACCAGCCAGCAAGCTGGTCTCCACACTGACAGCCCAAGAACTTGGATGCCCTTCCCAGCTCTTCCCTCATCGTCTGTTTTCAGTCAAATCAGGCAGCAAAGTCCCATACGTTGTTCTAATACCCCACTGGATGTCAGAGGCCCATCTGCTGAGCACCCCTAAAGAGGCAAAAGGGAAGACATTTCCCATCCAACATAGTCTGGAATACTTGTAAACAGAACAGAGCCTCTCACGCTCCCCATCTGTGAAATGCAGCTAGCTGCTAATCTTCAGCCTCATAAAAATGTGTGGAAGTAAAAAGATTTATAGGATGTGCTGTTTGAGCACTGCCATGAAAGAAAGCAGCAGCATTTTGAAGGAATTGACTGGGTCAGAAGCAGGGAGGCTGAGCAGAGCCAGCCTTGGAGTAGCAGCAGTCCTGCAGAGCCCCAAGGTGCCCCAAAACAGACACAGAGTATATGGTTCTGGAGCTGGTGGTTCCCCACTCACTGGGGTTGTGATAAGGGGGTATTTTCTTCCCTTCACTGGGCCCAAAGAAAAGGAAAGTACTTATAAAAATACTTTATTGGCAGCAGTGCATAGCAAGTGGCTCACTGTGCTTTCTGTGCTCACCTGTGAGGTCTGCCAGCAGAGAGACTAATTGCCATCTGACTGTGCATGGCAGTCACCTCCCACCCTTCTTTCTTTAGTTCTGCACCCTCCTAAACATGTAATTATTTATGTATCTGCATGTGCTGGAGATAAATACAGCCTAGCTTCCCCCTTCTCAGCAGAGCTTACACCTATGATCTCTAATTCTTCACCTCTGCAACGCTGCAGACCTGCACCATTCCATCCCATGTACATTACTGGGTTATGTACCCTGGGTTTTTATGTAACCTGGGTTTCTCCTCCCAGGCTCATCTCAGCACCTCCAGCCCAGTTCTACTTCTACTTCTTATGACTTGTCACTTTCTAATCTTTTATATTTGGGCACCTCCAAAATCAGCTCTTCTCCCTCTTTCCCTTCAGAGCTCTCTCCATGACCTATCATGACTGACAGACTTCCAGTCCCCTCCATCATTTCTACTCTCCTCTGAAGTACATCTACAAGTACAAGGTCATCATAAATAGAGGGACCATGCTAAAGATAAAAATAGTTGGACAGGCTCTTCTGCCTTTTCTCTCTCTTCATTAGGTTCTCCAGGTCCAGGCACAGGCTCTGCCACACATCACTGCTTCTCCTCCACAGTATGGCTGTCAAAGAATAAAATTTTTATATCTGTTTGATTTTTAAATCTGTACTAAAGTCTTTGTAAATCTATCCTTGACAAAGAAGCTGGTAAGAGAGAATCTATTGGTAGCAATTAAAGAAGCATCATGACCAAACTTTCAAAACAACAAGATGCTTGAACTATTCCAGCTATGATAAAAAGTGCAGGAAAAAAAGTCCTGGTGCAACATCACCATGGATGGGAAATCAGCTACATAGAGGTCATCTTGTTTTGTTATGGCATTCAGGTTAAGGGCCATGACTTGAAAAGTTACTTTGACTAAGAATTGCCACATCTACTCTGAGGAGCAAGAATAGAATTTCAGCAAAGCCTAAGCAAAAAAAAAAAAAAAATCAAAGTAGGATTTCCTAAGGAAAATAGAAACTTAAAATAACACCAGGTTCAAATTGCTTCTTGTGTGGTGATCTCATTTCCTTAGGATCAGCTTCTTATTAGCCCTCCAAGTATTAGGCATAGTTGATCTTCTGATTAATATTTTGCTTGTCTGATTAAGGGAATCTTAATTCATTAGATTTATTCTGCAGACTCTTGCTTTATCCTACTGTTGGGCATGGAAGTCTGGGATGGAGGGCATTCTCCTGGCTTCAGTTTTGAAAAGAATCAGAACTCGGTTTTACTGTCCACCTGCAACCAAAAGAAGAACCCATCATATGGGTCTGATGACAAGGAAGAGTTTTTCTGTAGCTATAATTGCTGCACTCGTAGCTTGTGCAGTGATATCTCTGGCTTCTTTTGCAGAAAGGATTTTGGATGATTTGCAGTGATAAATTATTCATTTACATCACTAGAAATTCAAAGCAGTGCTTGGTTTTAAATTCAAGAATAATCAAAGCCTATATACGTTGTTTTTAAAGGGTTTGGGGGAATAGAAAAACTTAAATACAAGAATAAAAGTAGCAAGAGCCTATCCTATAAGCTGAAATTAAAAGCTACCTGTCCAGTGCTCCAAAATCTAAACTTTTCTTTCTATTTCTGCAAATTGATTAATAGCATGTGTTGACCATTGGTTTGAAATATTTAATGTGTTTTCTTCAAGTAGGCAAAATGTGGAAATGAAACTGTTACAAGGAAGGCATGCCAAAACAGAGAAGGAAGATATTTAGCCAATTATTTCTGCCTTACAAGGATTAGAACCCAAAGGAAATTTTTCAAGAATAAAATTATCTTGATCAACCCTTTATTTTGAAGTGTCAAAGCTGGTTCCAAAACCGCCAACACTTTCCACTATACTATACCACCAACATTTTAGGTATCCTATAACCACTTTCCACTGGTTATAGGATACTTAAACATCCAAAGTAGTGGCTTTGGTTTGTTTGATTTGTTCTGTTGCCCCATCCAAAAGTGTGAAGTGGGCCACAAAGAGACACAAGTTCTGGAGTGCCCCAATAAGCAACCCTGACTCCTGCTCACAGTTCAGGGGAGCTGCTACCTGTCCACTCACACAGAAAACTTTGCTGGGGAAGCTTTAAAACAATGTTGAGTTGGTGTTTTGTCCTTCTGACCTGAAATCTCTTTGTCCCCCCAGCTCTCGTGGTGCGCTTCCTGACCAAGCGGTTCATCTGGGAGTACGACCCAACGCTGGGTAGGTGGCTGTGTCCTGGAAGCATGGTGTGGAATGGTGTGGCATGGCATGGAATGGCATGGCATGGCATGGCTGCAGAAGTGGAAATCACAGAGCTAAAGTTCCAGTCAGCCTCGAAATTTGCTGCCAAAAAAAAAAGCTTCTCTATGGTCATTTTAAGCTGGAACAAGTTGTTACCTAAGATGGCAGAATAGAGAAGGAGCAGCACCAAAGGCTGAGTTGGTGTAAGGCACATTTCTGCCCACTCAGAAATCCAGGGGAATTCTGCCATTGAAGTAAATTGCTTCAGTATTAAACTCTTCAAATAATTTCATGTGAGATCAGTCTTCTCCTTTTGAATAATCCCAATGTCTTCTGCGTGAGAATAAGATGGACTGGGATACAGACCTGTATTCTGGGATAGAGATCTTAAAAATTCGTGGCCAAAAAAAAGTTTTTACAGTCACCCTATCTAGACTTAAGTAATTTTTTTGTCCTCATTTTCAAACATATATTGTCTCTTATTTTTTGAGTGACCAGATAGGGGCATCAATCCTCTAAAGGGCATGTCCCTTCCACTGCTCCCACTTAGCTCTGTTGGGTCTGGCATTTTCAAGAAGCTGTCTCAGATAGCTCAAAAAACCTGTTGAACAATTACCCTGAATTAGAGACTTCGCTTAAAATCTGTGCCAAGGTCAATTTTCTTAGTATTTCTTAAATTAGTATATATTTAAATGCTCTGCAAATCCAGGCCAAGAAGTCCAAGACAAGACATTCACTTCTTAGGTGCTTTCAATACCTCTGAACTAAGTAATTCACATGTAAAGTAAAGGGCTGGAAAATTCTCATTTCTCCAACAATGTGTTCCTCTCTCCTTTCTAACGTTTCTTTTCAGGCTCCAACCCAGATCATACAGTTAAATATCAATGTCTTTATTAATGTTCTTTCCTTAAAAGGTTTCATTAAGGAAATAGAAAATGCCATAAAATTGCACAGCAGAAATGAAATTTAATATATTCCATTACAGAACCCAAGCAGCCCTTTGTAAAAACCAAGTATCCAGGATTTTTGTTTGGCAAAATGGAGAGATAGCAGATATCAAAACTCCCATCTTGGGAATATAAATCTCAGCACAACTGAACTCAAATACATTCTTTTATCTGCTACTATCAATGTAGTCCCCCGTGAATTATGTGTCACCTGCCTTGTGCTGCACAGTGGAATGTTCAATAGAATGTTCCTTTGATATTGTTAGTGTTAGTACTTCACATTTCTATTACTAGTACATCATTCTAAGAACTCGACAAGAATTGTATAAAGCCTTCTCTATCAGTGTGGTCCAAGTTCATCAATTTCTTAAGGGCCATTGCATACAAAAGCATCCTTTTTGCCTTGTTTAAGCACACAAATGAAGTTATTAGCAAGCTACAAGGTTTATTATTTTTTGGCTCATTATGAGGGCCCCATGCCCTTTGTGCTGTACAAGGCTTGCCATTTGTTTCTATTTTACAAATGAATAAAATTGCAAATTACCCTGCCCCTCAGGAATCTAATTGTCTTCTCTTTGCTGCACGGAAAGCTTTCGTGCAGGCAGCAGTCTTATCTCAATAAACTAAAAAATTAAATCCCTTCTGACTTACTGAATTTTGCATCCCCATTCAGGCTAGAGAATAATAGCTTAAATTATGTATTATAGTCATTGTGACACTCAGCTCTCTAGGTTGCTCCAAGGAAAAGGGTTGAGAAATTCAAAAACTAATAAACTCTTGTCAAGGAGTTATTTCTTAATCACAGTAATCTCTGGTGGAAGCTGCTCACCAATAGATTGTTTTGTTAAGTATTATTTTGTCGAACTGCAGATCACAATGGGATTCAAAAAAGGTTCTGAAGTGTTAGAGATGACAAATTATCTTGAAATTGCAACTGCTATTTAGGCCTTCAGAGATCAATGAGAAAGAAACTGTACCTTGAAAAGCTTTGAGAACCAGTGCCTGAAAAAATGCATTTCTGTCTTTTAGCATTGTCATCCTGCAGCAATTTGGTGTCCAGTTACCTGTAAACATCTGAATTCACTGAGAAGTTTCAGCAGAATAGATTCATTTCTTCTCAGCAGCCATGGGCTGTGGACAGAGGGATATCGACATGCTCAATCTGTATGAAAAATTAAAGTTGTGTCAGTGAGGATAATTTCCTCCACCAGGGAGAAATAAGCAGCTTTGTCAAGTTATTCTAAAAGGACAGCAGTAAAACAGATGAAAATCATCCAGCTACTAAGCAATGGAAGGTTTTGCCAAAAATCACTGGGGCTGAGACAAAAACGTCAAATTTATAGTTTATTTCTTATGTCAAGTGTTCAACCGCCCATTAGCCCTCTGATGCAAGCAATCCCCAGATAATTCCTATTTTTAGGAAAGCTTTCACCAAGCTATTCAAGTCCTGATGGAAATTCAGCATTAACCCAAACTAAGCATTATATAAAAAAAACCTCCAATTTTTAACTGGAAGGGGGAAAAAAAACACCTTATAAATATTCCTTACTATTCTAACCTGAATAAAACGAAGGGCCATATTTTTAGCAGCACCTGGATAGGATGCTGGTCCACCAGGAGCCAAATTGCCAACCACAAAATAACATTTTCTGGCTGGAGGAGCATCACTGAACCCTGCAAGCTTTGGAAAACAGAGCTGCTGCTGAAGTCAGGGCTCTGCAGCTCTGCCACTTTGGTGCAGATGTTGGATCTGTGCAAACACTGGCAGGACAGCTGCATCTTCACAAAAGTACATCTCACTCTGCTTTTTATTTAACTGTTTTCAGCCAAAGGGCAACAAGCACAGCAAAGGTCATTTTCTGGGGAGTGTTAACCATCAGCCTTGACTTGTCCAATATTTCTGTTTACCTGGCAACTCATTGTCACCATCCTGGCACGGGGTTTTTGTTTGCTTTTCCAAAAGGTGCTAAATTCCTCAAGGTAAATTCCTACCTGGCATTATTAAGGTGAATGGGTTCCCACATCCATCTTCATTTACAGTAAATTGCAGCTATCTCACATTTTCAACAGAATGAGATGAAAGAACTCTATGTAGAAATGGGTTAGAATAGTACATTTTAAAAAATACATACATGCAGTTGTTTTCTAAAATATTAAATACATTAAGGATTCAGCATTAAACTAGTCTTTAGCTTGTTAAATATGCACTGAAAAGGGGATTGGGTTCCCACATGGATTTCACCAAAATTCATTAATGTTTACATGTTTTTAAATAGAACAGAACTTGAAAAACACATAAGCAAGCTCAGAGTGATGTTGGAAGGCCTCAAAATGCTTGCCCTACTGGGTAGGGCACCAGTGAAGTCACACTCTTTTCATGAATGTAGAACTGTCATGGACCTCAGTGACCCCAGGGCTTGACCCCATAATTTTCAGGGATTTCAGCAGGGAATAGCTGCTCTCCCCAGCCCCAGTAAATTGCAATAACAATTTTTGAGTCTGCATCTCAGCAATTCCCCCCAGGAGCTACTGGCAGTGCCCAGAATGTATGGTTCTTTCACCTGAGCTCAAAGAGGAGACATATTGTGGTTCACTTTGATATTTAATTTATTTTAAAATTGGAGATGCTGAATCAGAGTAATCAAGGAAACTGCAAAATCTATTTTTTTCCTGGGAGGCAAAAAAAGGAGGAGAAAGCCCAAAGAGCTATCACAGCAGCAGACAGATAGAGAGCCTGCAGAGAACTTCATGGGTAGCAGCAAATTTCTGCCTCTATAAGCCATGACATGCAGGGAGAATCTCCTGGATCAAATGATGAAAGAAGAAAACTCATCATTGCTATGGCTGACCGCTTTTAAAAATAATTTTGCAGCATTTCTCTGAGAACACATTTGTTGTTCCACCAAAACTTGAACAATTTGCTTTACTAGAGACAGAGCTGGGGTATCCAAGACTTGGGAAAAAACAAAACAAAACAAGAAACCAACCCCCCCCCCCTCCAAAAAAAAAAAAAAAAAGGCGGGGGGGAGTATTATGACTTATGTTTTGTCATTTGTTTCGAATTAACATTTTTACATATAGTTGGGAGAATCAAGGGATTCCTGAGGCTCAAGGACTGAAATATGATTTTTTGCTATATAGGAGAAAGCCCCAAACAAATAAAACCCCAGGTAGATGCAGGATACAGGCTGCTCAGTTATTTTCTTGTTTTTGTAACTGGTTTGCTGTCTGCAGTCTCTCTGCCTCTGTGTCTCACCTACTAAATCCTTCATCTTACAGAAGGATTGTAAGTCAGCGTACCTGATACTCACATTTAAGACACTCATCAAAGGCACACAAAAACACCAAGCAAAGCCTGGATTTGAAACAAAAATCTACTTATATCAGAAAACAAGGAGATGATATTTTTGTTGACCTTTCTAAAAATGTCTTGGCTTTCTCACACTATCCCTAGATGTTTTTCTCCAGCTACTCACACATTTCATATGACTTTGGCAAGCCTCTGAAAAGAAAACTGTCTCTTAGCAGATGATCAATAGAACAAGACATAACAGAATGTGTATGAAGGCAAAGAAAGACAGAAAGCAAAGGATTTTATTTCATTTGAAAGGGATAGAGAGAAGACTTCACTACTTTAAAGTAGAGGTAATTTAAGAAATAGGGGGTTTAAGAAAAATTATAATTATAACTTTACCAGGACTACTAGATTAATAGTGACATTTTGGAAGAGTATTCCTTCTGACTATATTACAATTTCTTTACAGGTTTTTGTTCACTCTTTTTTCCTCCCCTGGCAGAATAAAAAAACTTGAACAGTGTTTGTACAAAGTCCCATCTAATGCAACAGACAGCCCATAAGAGACCCTCAAACATGGGTAAGATGCATAGGTATAAGGACAGCAAGAAAGATAGGAGACAAACTAGTAAAAATTGCTTGAAGGAAGGAGACAGAAACCTCTCTTAGAGCCCTGAATTCTCCCACAGCAGAAAACTAAATCTCCTACAGATGAGCTCAAGCCTTGCAAATGACAC